CGTATGCGTACTCCCCGCCGACCTGCCTTCGTCACTGCTGCTTGTACTTTCAAGTAATATTTTATCAATAAATATTAAAATAATTGGTCCTATAGGTCATCGTTTCTTAACCTCGGGTCACGACCCTAATTTGGGTCGCGGGCCATATCGAGATGGGTCGCGGGATTTGTGTTAGTTGATTCCTAAAATTTTTTTTAACTTACTTTAAATAATGAAAATGTAGAAAATTGATGATTTTATTTTTTATCGGGTCGCGAGCTTCTAATATTTTTTAATTGTGGGTCGCCAGCCAAAAAGGTTAAGAACCGCTGCTATAGGTATTCACTTTATTTGACAGCTATTTTTTGTTTAAAAGTTTGGTTATGTGTTTTACTGGAGCCACAGCACCTTTCTGTCCCCAGTTTCAGTAAAATTAATCTGCCGGGTAGTATTTACCACTGAGCTCAGTAACTGAAAGTGGATTTCGGAATGCGTTTTCAGTACCGACAGTACTGACAGTAAATTACGGAACATAGCCATGATCACAATCCACACAACAAGGTATGTTCGATCTTGTACTAAAAATACTAAAAATCACTGCAACACTGCACATCATTCAATGGCGGCCATTTTTGTTGTTTACAATTCTTGTGCTTTGAGTTTGTACAGACTAATAATCGTTTTAAACGTTGTGTTTCTTACAGAGAGACTTGCAAGCCTTAAAAGAGACCAATAGTGGTAAGAACAATCATTTTACTCCTCTTTTGTTAAAAATAAACATTATTCTATCAGGGCTGTCAAATGTCAATTTGAAGGTTAATTTAAGGTTATTTTATAACCCACAAATTGTTATATTATGGCTGACAAGTTTAGGTGACGTTGCCACAGCATTACATCTTAGCTCACTTTAAATAAAGTGAGTTGAGATCTCAGTCAAAAAGCGCACATATTAAAGTAAAGTAAAACCCATTTTTATCAAAATGCAGTGTTCTCTTTATTTATAAAAAAAACATGTAAAAACAGTTTTCTTAATTTCTATAATTTTCTTTCAAATCTTATATTTAAGGATTCAATCACAATTTATAAATCAATATTCAAATCAAGTTAAAAATTTAAACATGTCCATTATCCAGTGTCATCCAAACCTATAAAAAATAAAAATGGTGAATAAGCTTTAGTAACATGTTTTCTAAATATTTTCTAGTCCAGAAAAATTGACGTTTAGATTAAAATGTGGGAGATATTACTTAGGTATGATACGTGCGGAGCGAGGAATATTTCGAGCTCATAGGCGTGCGTAACTGTTAATACAAATTTTGAGATGTTGGCGTTAGTCTAACGCTTTATCTACCCACACTTTAGTCTAAGGTCTAATAAAATTGTTAACTTTTTTCAAATGTTTACTGCATTAGGCTATATTTTACTAGATTGACAAAATGTTCAGTAAATAAATTTTTGGATAATTATTATTTGCATTTCTTAGTATAATTTGAATGTAATGGCGAATCATTTTGGATACACATAGTATTGTGCGCAACTTGTATACACAAGTGGTCATAGAAAACAAAACCCTATCTTTTTTTACTTAAAAAACTTGTCGCCATAATGTCAAACGTTTTTCCTTTTCTTTGCATTTTGATACTATTCATAAGACTAGATAATTGATTTTATATAAACAACTTTGCGTTAAGTTTCTCATTGCCCACAGTGTAAATTTGTAGCAAAATTGATGATTTTAGACATACCTATCGATGATTCCGCACAATCCGCATCTTGTTCGCTTTTCTTCCGCTTTAAATAGGGGCGCTTCGATCGAGGGTTATCTTGATTAGTCGAAACGCACATATCTTATTTATTTTAGGTTATAATAGCCATTTTAGAGCGCCAAATAAACATACAACAAGTGTGCGCAAGCGTATCGTCGAGTTGTTAATCTTCGCAAATTGGTCCCAAGCCGAATCTGAAAATAAATCTAACATGCCGCAACCGCAGCCGCCACATTTAACTTTACCTCTTTTTTTAACTTAACACATTGAGTAACACGTCGTTCTTATATGAACGACAGTGATTTACGCATATGGGGAGTATGAAGCTTGGCCTATGCTAGGCACACTACGCACCTTGGTTTGAGGAAAAATATTTATTCTTACTAACATTTGTGAAAAGTAAAATAATTAATATTTAACAGTTTGGCCTACCAATTTAATTTTTAATTTCAATGTGCTAAGGCTACAACTAACTAAACTAAAATTATTTCATCATGAAAAACATCGCCAGTAAAATATCGCAATTAAAAAAATTGATATTTACTCTTGATTATGACGATTTATTTTTAAATTAAATTTGTCTCAAGGATAACCCAAGTAGCACAGTATTTTAAGTAAATTAACCAAAATCCAAGTAAAATAACGTTTTTTTTTAAACTTGTTTTAAGCCAGTTGATTCAACCATTGGCATTTTTAAAGGTAATTATGAACTAAAAAATAACCCATTAAATTTACCAACTGTTTGCTATTACCTTAAGATAAATTAGTACAATTAAAGTATTAAAACAAACTTATTGGTAATATTACTTACAAGTTAAATATTTGTTATTTTATTGTCAATTAAAACTTAAAATAACCTCAGTTAAAAAGTAGGTTATTTTAGAAGTTACATATTTACTATTAATTTTAACCAAAGGAAATGTTTTATAGTACTTAAATTTTGCTGTAACTTTTGGATAAATTGGTAATACTCCATTTAATGTTGTTTATTTCAACAAAAAGAGACGTCATGAATGTTTATTTATCTGTTAATTAAAAAAATAGGGTAATATAAACAAACAAATTATAAAACATAATTGTTTTAGGTTTAAACGTACCTATTTTACATCAATTTTAAACAAAATAGATCAGAAATTATTGAAAAAATAAGTTTTTTAAAAATATTTTTTTATCCTTATTATTTTCAAAGCGCGTTTTGAATATGGAATTATTATGTACTACTTTATCAGAAACTATCAGTACTACTTTATCAGAAAAAAATCCTCATTGGTTTTTTAATTTTTAATCGGGAAAGTTATAAGTAGTTGATAGAACTCGCAAAAATAAGATGAGATACTGGGTGGTAAAGTTAAATATTAATTAAATGTTTTTTTTACTTTTAGGCTGAATTTCTTAAAACTTGACAGGTTTTTAATAATGGATGAAGGGCTTAATTTAATGTTATTAAATTTAATTTAGTTAATCCAAAGGCATTCCAACCAAATATTTAAAAATAAAATTTGGGTATGCTACTGCTTTTAATAAGTTTAATATTAATTTGGGATTAGGCAATTAAAAATACATTTTTTCTATCTTGTTTAAATTTTTAAGAAAATTCGTTTTTTCTCTAGTACTTTGAAAATTTATGGTCACGAGTAAATAAACGAATTTAACTTTTTTCTTGAAAATTAAGGTAGATAAAGAAAAAATGCAAGAGACCAAAAGTTTTACTAATTGCTTAATTTAAAAAATCAGTGGCTTGACCATAATTTTGTTTATTAACTTTAACACCCTGTTAATTGAAAACAAAGCTTTAAATTATACAAGTTCATATAAACTTTTCTTCCTATTTTTGCGAGTTCTATTGACTATTTCTTTTTTCGATTAAGGGGTTACATACATTTGAGCTCATAAAAATTAACGGTTTTTAGTGATTTTTTTGGTATATTATAATAATTATTTTAAAACAAACTAGTATCGAATAGGGTATGTTCCGAAGTATTTGTGAAAAAAATTGTACGCGAAAATATGCAAAATTGTGGAAAATACGGCCCTGGTCCCGAAATGCCTTTTTTTTCAAGCGTTTGCGGTGAGCATGAAATATTAAAAACCGCCCAACAGATCTTGATGAAAAAAACCCATATTAGTACATAGTATCACCCCCTTTGTAAACGAAGGGTTTTGCAAAAAAATGTGTACGTAAATGGCAGTGATTTTTCCAAATCGATTTTCGAGGGTACAAAAATTAAGTTTTCCGGTCGAAAAAAATAGAAATTTTCGTCCAAATGAAAATCCCTTCGATCAAGAAAGAGCTATTGTAATTAGGTACTACACTTCCAAATTTCAGATCAATCGGAAAATTGGTTTTTAGAAATCGTGCTCACGGCAACAGCACTTTTCAAAAAATACGATTCCGAGATAAACGCGTTTTAAGTTCATTCAATTCGCCTTTAAATTTTCGTGAGGTAGCGTGCTATAAATTGCTATAACATAAGTTCTAGTGCTCCGATCTTGATGAAATTTTGAGTACATATTCTTAAAAGAATATGTTGTAAGAATATTTAATACAAAAAAATCGATTTATTTACCTAGCTCAAATGTATGTAACCTCTTAAACCGGTAAATTTTCAAACTTATTTTAAGTTAACTAAAAATTGAAAAGTAGTTTATAAGGGTAAAATAAATATTAACAACTCGTCACCTGAGAATTATAGTGTTCTATCTGCATTTTCTTTTTTTTATTCAAGTTAGTCTTGTTTTAAGTATTAAAGATGCATATTGTTCTATCTATATATAATTGGGGTAGAAATTGTACAGTTTAAGCATTAAACTTTACAATTTCTACCCCAATTATATATAGATAGATCAATATCATCTTTAAGACTTAAAACAAGACTAACCTGAATAAAAAAAAGAAAATGTAGATAGAACACTATAATTCTCAGGTGACGAACTATTTAAACAAAAGGTAAATTAATCAAAAAGTTAAATTTACTTAACATGTTAATTTAACCATAATTTAATTCCCCACATATTACAAAATAACGTTAATTTAACCAGTTGTGCTACTTGGGAATATAGTGTTGGCAAGTATGGGTAACATCATTTTAATTAAAAAAACACTATTGTATGTTTTTAAATGTGCATGGATTTTTGTTACTTTACCTGAGTAAATGCCATTTTGTATCATTTTTATTCTGATCAAAGTGGTAAAAATTTGGTCACTTTTACAGTTGGGTTCCACATTATGGAAGAAACAGCCGTTTATAGAAATTTACCATTTATTTAATTCAAATTCCAGATATACATTTATTAATATTAAAACTAGTTCCACATGTTTGTCCGTGAGACAAACAGCAGGTAGGGTAATGATAAAATACGTAAAATTAAGTTAGCAACTAAAATCTACATGACATTGTCGCTCACCCCCCTCTGTGTGGAAAAAATAACAAACAAGTAAAAAAAAAGAGGAGGTGTATACATAGTATAGTATGACAGGAGGGGGATATATTAATGAAATTGTTTATTGTTTTGTGAGCAAGCAGGCGCTAAGATCGCTCATTTGTACTATCAGTACAACTATTGTACTGCTGTATACAATCGCTGGGTGTTTTTTTGTGTCTATTTTAACGATAGAGTAGAAGGGGTAGCGCAATAGTGCGCGCGTCAACTTAGAACCTTCGTCCGGGTCCGGCCATGTCTCTACGGGGACCTGGGGCGCCGCCGCCACCGCCGCTCGCAAAACTACAAAAACAAGCGAAAAAACAATCCGGTCAATTAAATACACTCTCGTTGTCCATCCGATACCAACCACAAAAACAGGCAAAACAACTTTTTGTTATGGGATGATGTGTTTATATTGATATCGCTAACCTTATTTTAACATATTATTTTATTGATTATTAATCGACTGTACAGCCAAACTATATTAAATGCATACTAAATGATAAAAAAGTAGGAAAATCTCCATATCAGGTGATTATGTGGGTGGTGCAAAACTTCTCTGGGGGTTTTTTCTTGGGGGATGATTGGGTGGTTGTAAATTGTTGCTAAACCGTTACCCATACGTTATGGGAATCCGGGCATTTTTGTTCACAAGGGTAAAGTCGTCAGGGTTCATTTTGGGGGTGAAAAGGGGGGGTATATTTAAGCTATATAATGATTTCTTATTTACTGACAGGTTAAAAAAAATATATTGATGTGCTTTTAAGACAAACAATAATGGCGTAATTTATTAGGTTAAATAATATTTTACATTTTATTTTTATTTATAAAAATGCCTTTTAAATTAATTAAATCAATAAATAGCTTAAAATTAGCCATTAGCTAATTGACCGAGATAAGCCAGATTAACTGGTTAAGACGCCACCTAATTAGCTAAGCTAATTTAGTTAACCAGTTAAATTAGCTAAGCTGATCAGTTAGCTATCTAATTAACTTAGCTTACTTTTTTAGCTGGCTTAACCGGCTAAATTGCACAGCCCTAATACTATTTGATAATAGGAATCAAGTTGATGTTATTACACAGATTTTAAGAAAGCTTTTGACCAAATCGATTATTTTGAATTAATTAATAAATTGGAACCAAAGTTATGATCGATGATATATTGGCAAAATCTTTATAAATATGAAAATTTAAAAAATCATATCTCCAAAAACAATTGATAAACCTTGCTAAAATTAAAATTGAATTTTTATTTTGAATCAGGGCACTCATGGAAAAATTGCCGAGGAATTTCTAAATGGCAAGGGTTTTTTCGTGACGAATTAACGTAGAATTCCCCATACAGAAAACATATAAAAATATGAAATACAAATACATACATATATAGTAAAAAATAAATATATAGGTATGCAAAATTATATATATTTTGGAAAGTACTCCGTCAGAATTACTGTTAAGTTAAAAATGGTATTTATTTATAGTTCAAACAATTCCACTCCTGTCAATTTAAACCTATTAAAAACTGTCAAAAATAGGGTTTTCTGACTGAACAGAAATGCAAGTGACCAAAATTGGCGAATATTTTTTTATTTACGTTCTTCATAGTAACAGAGGTATTATTGTATCAAGAAATGCCAAAGTGACAAAAATTTATTTACTCGTGAAATTTTATCAATAAATACCACTCGAGGTTCAATTGAGCTGGCAATTTTTTGGACTTGGTGGTTTGTTAATGGGACTAAGAAATTTGGGCCCAAATTTTTTCTCGTCAAATTAATACGTCAAATTCTCAAGTTTTCGTGAAAAGTAAAAAAATATCCGGCTAAATCGAACCTCTAGTAGTATTACTTTGGATAATTTCTATTACCGATTTCACACGACTTGCAACGAAAGTGTCAATAAAAAAGCCGCGTTTTTTACTTTTAGTTTAAAAATATAAACAATTACATTTCCTTAAATTTCCCTAACTATTATAAAGATATTAAACAATTCCCTGACTTTACTGGGCTTAAAACGGATTCCCCGACTTTTCCAGGTTTTCAAGGATTTCCAGGCGAGAGGGATGATATGGATCAAATTGTAGGAAATGATGACACCACATTTCGTACATTTACACTATAACTAAACAATTTTTTTATCAACAAACTTAAGAGGTGGAAATATCGTCAGATCCTCTAAATCGACGGGTATTTTTGAGATCTACAACTTTCTCATTTGCATTAAGTTCAATTTATTTCTCCCAAAAAGATAATTTTAAAAAACTCATTATCCAAATGTCCTCCCCCTTTTTCACCCCCAAAACGGCAACATGCGATACCGGCCCATGAACAAAAATGCAGGTTTTCTCGAAATATGGGTGGAAAAATACTTGACCACCTACATAATCACCTGATATAGAGATTTTTCACTTGTAATTTTTTCATCATTAAATATACAGTTTGACTGTACTCTAAAACCAGTGTAAATAAATTTAAAAAGTGGTTTTGCCTCACGGTTATTTCTTTACTCTCTTAAAATTTCTTTATTCTCTTGATACAATAAACGCTTGGAATCTTAATTTTCATTTTAACTTTTAGAATCAATAATAAAATTTGAAATAATTAATTATAACCGCTTTAAACATAATTATGTTATGCGGGTTCAATTTATTTTTTTAGTATACGCAATTTTAAGCATTTTCTAATGCTATCCAATAAATATTTTCGTCTATAAACATAGGCGTGTTGCTATTTAAACGACTTTTAAATGAATACATACAAGTGTAACCGAGTCTGTAAAACTAAATCATACAATCTTTAAAAATTGAACCGAATTTTTTTTTATTGAACTTACCCGCCTCTCTGTTGTGGCAATGGTGGGTAGGCGGTGTCGTAGGAACGACCGCCTCCTCCGCCACCGCCTCCTGAACCGTATGAGTCTCCATAACCGCCACCGCCTCCGTAGCCACCACCCGCGCTGCCGCCACCGTAACCTCCGCGTGCTTCACCACCATAACCCTATAAAGTGTAAATATTGTAAATATTATGTATGACAGGATCTGTTGGCATTGTAAAAGAAAAAAAAAGAAAATTCGACTTTAAACTTACCGGTCCTCCGCCGCCGTATCCACCGGCTGCACCTTGGCCGAATCCACCGCCACCGCCGCCAACTGGTGGTCCATCGACCGGAAAACCGCCGCCACCGCCACCACCGCCGCCGTATCCGTTATTGTATCCACTACCGCCACCGGCACCAAATCCTTGTTTTGGTCCTTGATCGCGGCGACTGAACAAGTCACCACCACCGCCGCCACCACGTGGTCCACCCATGTCACCGCCAGGTGGTGGTCTTCGGTCAAAACCGCCTCCAGGGCGGCGGTCGTCCGAAAAGCCACCTCCTTGTCTGTCGGCGAATCCGTGGCGGTCTGAAATTTCGAAATAGTATATCTCATTAGAAAACCGCAACTATGCAAGCATCCACACGTTCGTCAGTTTGAATTTTTTTGTATAACACCCATATGGAGATGGGTATTTTAAATCTACATAACATTTGTTTTAAAATAACATTCAGCGGTGTTTTTTTTTAATGATTAATGGCAACGAAAATGATATTTTTAATAACATTTAAATGTTCGCTTAGCTAGATCATCAGCTATCAAAAATAGTTTTTTCAAATTATATACATATTAAGTAACTATTTCTCAAGAAAACTTTATTTTTGTGTCCAACTCTTACATGGCCTGAGTAACGGTAAATTTTGTCAAAGAAAACGTTTTTTATTTAAATACCCGCACCTAACTTTTTTCTAATTTACAGGAGTCCTATGATAAATATTTTTTTAAATCAAGTTTCTTTTAAATGCTTAAAATATTAGTAAGATTTAGACATTTTGTACACTGATGTAGCTTTCCCTTTCCAATTATTGTCAAGCATTGTCCACAACAACTAGATTTTATATTTTTTGATTTAAATAATTTTACTTTGTACTTGATAATTGATTGTACTACTACTACTAAGTTGTAGTTTACTGCCGGCGAAATTAAAAGGTTAGTACAATGTTCATATAAACTTTTCAATTATTGGCGTTGAGAAACTATTTAATACTTTTGTATTTTTGTATTGAGATAATAAAATAATTTTCACATTTAGTATTATTTTACAAGAAAGGCACTTTATTTTAACGATTGTATGACATTTGACAACTGTCAACTAACTTAATACTAACTTCAGCCCGTGACTAAAGCGCCATAAAGCCTCAACTTGTCAATGTGTATTTAAAAGGTCACTTATTGTCATAGAAACATGTACGATAAAGGGCGTTTTAAAGGTGGGAGTAGAAAAATATACATTATAGGTCTCCTGTAAATTACAAAAGAGGCTAGGTGCGAGTATTTAAATAAAAAACACGTTTCTTTAACAAAATGTTCCGTTACTTAGGCCATGTTAGAGTTAGACACAAGAATAAAAAAAATTTTCTTTAGAAATAGTTACTTATAATGTGTATATAAATTTAAAACTATTTTTGATAGCTGATGATCTAGCTAAACGCACATTTAAATGTTTTCAAAAATATCATTTTCGTGGCCGTAATAGTTATTTACGTGTCTAGCTTTGTAAATGAATCTTTAGTTAGTTAGAAGTTAATTCAGTGAGCCTAGTAGAGATTAGTAAGTTTGTATGTGTCACGCTTTGCAATTAATCTTTACTGAATTAACTCCACAAAAACTTCCAGCTCGCCTGTAAAGATTCATTTACAAAGCTAGACACGTAAATAACTATTAAAAAATCACCGCTGAAACATTTTTTAACTTTTATTATTTCAAAGCAGATTTTAGGTAGATTAAAAAAATAGCAATCTCCAATATGGGTGTTTAATAAAAATCAAACTGACAAACCATTGAATGTTTTTTTTTTATGCTTTGATAACAATAACTGTTTTAAATAAATTTTTCATGTAAATTAATGTTTCTTAGGAATTTTGTTGTCTTACCGCCATATCCGCCGCCGCCGCCACCTCCGAATCCTCTATCGCCGCCGCCGCCAAAACCGCCACCTCGTCTGTCATCAAAGCCCCTTCTGTCGCCCATCGGCCCGCCAAATCCTCCATCGTAACCGCCTCTTCGAGGACGGTCGAAACCGCCGCCACCGCCTCCAAAACGATCGCCGCCGAATGGTGGAAAATCGCGACCGCCACCGCCGCCAAAGCCGTTACGAGGACCGCCCCTGAAATTGTCGCCTCGTGAGTAGGGACCGCCCCTATCTTTGCCACCCCTCATTGGGCCGCCGCCGCCCCCTGGACCACCTCGTCTGCTCTTTACTCTGCCTGAAAAAATGGTTATTTAAGTCAAAAAGTTTAAAGGCCGTCTCGTAGCGGTGGCCTACAATTGAGCAAAGTAGAAAAAGACACTTCTTAGCCAAATGGCATATAAGGCTCACTTTTATTTGTTACACCATGTTTAAGTACCGTGTAACTTACATGTAGAAAATGAGGTTAGGAAGATATTACAATAGTAAAATTTTGTTTTTGGTTTTAACGTTTTTTTTACAGATAATAATAAAGTTTAAGTTATAGAACGCTTAAAGATAATTATTATTATTATAGTAGATTAAGTCATTAAGAGGAGAAGTGAATCTTTTTGCGCCGAGGCAAAGCAATTGAGCGAAGCAAAAAAAATACCTTCTTCTCAGAATATCATACTACATATTTTATTTTCTAACAAAAACTAAAAAACATTATCCTAATTTGAATAACAGTCTGCCAATGACAGATACTTCCTCCTAGGCATAGGCGCAAATAATATGAATAAAATAGGGTAAAGAAATGATTTTTTATCGATTTATTATCTACGCTCATGTATCCCAATTTTGTATTAGGAAAATTACTAGTTTTTTTAAGCATTCAATTAACAAAGTGAGTAGGTGCACATTAGAGTGCTGCCATTTATTTTTTACAGGCACTGCCGTGCCGCTTAATTTAAAGTTGGCGGCACATCAATAATATATTTTTTTTTCCAATTCTACATTATAGACCAGGCGGAGAAAGCACATATTATCGCCGAGCATACATTCACTGCCAAGGCAATAGATTGTGTGCGAAGCAATTAATAGGCTTTCGCAGCCGTAAAACCCTATTTTCTTTTTAAGCATGTAATTAAATAATTTCTTATAATTCTGTCACATCATTTTTAGGTTAGGTTCAACTGATATAATAACATTTTAGCTTTATTCCTGTCAAAGTTAAATAATATTTTGAACTAGTATTAATATGAAGTCTTTTTATATGGACTTAGGAGTGTAATAACATTGATTAAGGTGTGTGTACTTCTTCACTCAACGGTAATAATATAAAAAAATTGTTGTACGCTTGAAAAAATATATATATACTATGCTCCAAACCTTAAAGTCCCACCACGTGACTACGTACGGAACGTAATCATTTGAAAATTTGTCATTTAAGGCTTTTCAGGTTATGTATAATATACATATTATGTCAAAGTATAGTCGAAATAATAGTTATTTATATCATTAGGTTAAGAAGGCTTTTTGTGCTAAGCTCAAAGTTTGAAGGCCGACGCGTAGCGGAGGCCTACAATTGAGCGAAGCACAAAAAGACACTTCTTGGCCGAATGGCATACAACATTTTATCTTTAAAGCACTTTATATAGTTCAATTTAATTCAACATGAAAGCTGCCTAACCTCACTTTTTTAGAATCTCATTTATTTATTAGCTAAAGATTACATTAAATGTGCAATAATTATTATTCCCTTCAGAAGCAGTAATAGTATGACAATACCTAGGCTACATGATTTAAGTAGAAATGGATTTTTGTAAGAAAATGGTTTACTTACCCTCTTGCTATTACATTGAATTCAATTAATTGTTTAATAAATAGGTATCTAATTTCAATTTGTTTGCATTTTTATTAAAAAAATAGGTAGTTTGGAATGTTTACGCTGTGTTTAACATTTAATTTCACTTAAAGCAAATTAAAACTTAAAGATAATTTAAATCGTAGAAAAAGAAAACACAACTGTGAAATCCACAGAAACGTCAAATTGCAATGTCCTAACCTCACTTTTGTTTCATTATTCATATTTAATTTTACAATAATTTAATGAAAAATAATAAACGTTAACAGTAAAACAAACAAATTAGTGCATATTATAAATAAATTAAACCAGTTTAGTACGTTAATTTCTTAGAAAAGGATTAATTTCTCAAAACAATACCCCTAGCAAGAAAAAATCGAACTAATTACTTACCTCATAAAAATTGTTATCGGCCTAGGCCATAACAAGTTATTTCTTTATCGAATGTTGACAACATTAAAGTTTAAATTATGGACCGCGTGGAGATAAATAATATTTATACTTTACCGCTTAGGTTTAAGCGTAAAAATGTATTAATCTTTATAGTATCACAATAACAATAGTTGGTTTATGAATTTAGGAATCTAAATACTGCATTTAATGAAATTCTTAAGGGTATAGTGCTTTTTTTGTGCATTTAATCTACATATCTCCATAAAATAGTTTTAACTAAACGCCATTTATTAAAAAATCTAGCTTCTCTATTATGGAATAAGTATATCTGTATTAAAGGTGGGTAAATATATTATAACAAAAAATATCAACTTTTAGTAATTTTAAGGTTAGAAAAATCTATTTTGACCAAAATAAATAAGTATTTTGGAATATTTAGAAGAGTGTGTTAATATGGTCATATAAATATAATTATACTAAATAATTGTTGAATATGGTTCAAATTAAATTGAAGCTTTTATGCTTCTAACGTCAAAACTTGTGTATGCTTACCTCTTGGCATACCTACTTTAACTCAGATTATAAGAAAACTTGCAATGTAGAAATATTTAATACTCCCATGACATGTGATTTATTAAAAGTTATTATTTTTCGATATACTTTTTACTACTTAAAATTGATACTTCTGTTTTGCCTTAATTTTACTTTGCAATTATTATTAAATTGTTACAATTATAACAAATTTTAAACAAAAAGAAATTTTAAAAACAAAACATCATTGTGATGAAATAATAACAACCTACAAAAAGCCAATCCACCTCACATAAAAAACCAACTAAATGAGAGCTTGCATGTCACATTCCCGCTGGGAAACGAGAAACTCCATATCTTTCTGGTATACATACACCCCTTTGCTAGAATAGAAGAAACAATTTTTACAAAAGCTAGCCTACTTCTGATTTACAAAGCATGTATAAGGCCGTTCCTGGATTTTTGCAGTTCCCTCTTCTCTCGAGTACCCAAGAGCCACATTCTAAAACTATCAAAAATCCAACATCAATCATTATGAATGGAGGATACATGAAAAGTACCCCAGTGAATGTATTACTAGCGAAAATCGGGTAAAAACCACTCCACCTAAGAAGGGAATGGCTAGCAAGTATGTAGGCAGACTGTTCTCCTTGGAAAACCACCCAGTCAAAGCAAAATTTATAGGCGTCTACTCGGACTACTATGAGGACGGAATATACTGGACATACTACGCATTGGTCTTTTTCCTCAACAAAACCGCCTCGATAAAAACTTCTCCCTTCCTCCCCTGCTTGAACACAAACATCGACTCCATCACCGTTAAAAGAAAGATCCACGTACCCGCTCTCCAAAAACAAACGGACAATAAACAGGCTTTTCTGCACTACTTTGAAAACAAATGGAAAGGCTGAGCCTACTACACGGACGGCTCAATCAGCCAAGTCGGAGTTGGGTCAGGAGTTTATAGCCCCTCCAATCAACTAAAATACTCCGCCAGACTCCTAAAACATGCCACTATGGCGACAGCAGAATACTTCGCAATTGCTTAAGCTCTGTTACAAGCGACAAACAGCCATATCCAACCTAGCCAGCTAAGCTTGCAAGTTGAAAGATTTAACAGAAACAAGAACACACTATAAAGATCTCATAAAACTAATAACAAATTTAAGGAAAACCTAACGTAATCAGGCAGATTCTACTCCACACATACACCAAAACTTCAAAAGCCTTGGATCTCAATCAACTCTCTAGATAGAAGACACATCACTACCTTCCTGAGACTAAGAAGTGGTCACTGTCTCACAAAATCCCATCTACATAGAATTGGCTAAGAAACCAGCGCTGCAGCGCTTCGTGTGACTGCGGAGCCACCGAACAAGACCTCCACCACATATTTCTAGAATGTCCAACACAGACAGACCACATCAACAACCTATATAAAAAACTAAGTACAATCCACATCAATATTGATATCCCATAAATCTGACAAACATCTTAAATATCTCCACACACGAAGTTATAGTAGCAGTACTCGCCCTAGATTCAACTAACATCAAGCTGTAAAACACCCTGCTTCGATTTGCTCTGACCTACCAGGTTTGCATGGCTACGCTTAATATATAAAACCTAATACCCATATTCCTTTTTACCAGCACATTAACAACCAACATACTACCCCGGATAACGAGCTAAGAATCCAGACCACTGGCTGATATGGTTTATTTTATTTTCTTCTGTGCTGGATTAGTTATGCAGAGAGGAATTCCAATTTCAAAAGACTTGAAGCAAAGTGTTGTGAATGCATTTATGGAAGGTAACAAACAAGCCTTTATTTCAAAACAGTTTGTGTTACCCCAGTACAGTGTATCTAAAATAATTTCATCGTATAATGACAGGGGACACTTAGAGAGACGTCCAGCTAAAAAGCCGTTAGTTTCGGAAAGAAATAGAGCAGCAAGATTGGCATTCTGATGGAATGAGCAGAGGCGTAGCTAGGTAACTAAAGGCCCTGGTGCAAAAAGAAGTGGGGCCCTAACTAATCTGTTTAGGTTTTATCAAGTCAAAATATAAATATATATATATATATATATATATATATAAATACTTTAACGGTACAAAGCTACAAGTTTATCATCAGCTCTTTATCGTGCACTGCATGGCATAGAAAAACTACTTACTACAATTATAATTGTAGTAAGTAGTTTTTCTTTGCCATGCAGGTCTGACTTTCATATAATAACCCCTTAAGGGGATGTTTGGCTTTGTATATGACTTATCTGTATAAATTGTTTAAAACGTTTAATGTACATTTACATACGTGCATAAACCTTTTAATTTACTTGGTTTTATTGCTTAATACCAATATTATTAATCCAAGTAAACATTCCTAAACTCTTTACCTGTAGAACCTAAGCGATCACTAAAGCTCACACAAGACACTTATGCACATATATGTCAGACCTACCTTCTATACTGACAACAAAATAACAATTTAGTTTATAATATTTTCCTGGCCATAGTTTTCGCAA